TTACTTTAGCTAATATGGGGACAGTGATGTAGGCTGTGTGTAGCGGTTATGACATGGTTTGGTTTGGAACGTTTTTTTTGCCTGGTCACATACAGCTGATGTGTTGTTCATTGAAGTCCACAAACGAAGGGAAAAGTTGAGAGGAGGAGATCGCATAGAGGCGAGAATGAATACAACGTGCCTGCAATGAAAGTGAAGTGTGTTTATGCGTGATCAGGGGTGTATTCATTCCGCCGATTCTGTTGAAAAAACGTTTCTTAAACGGAAGCAAACGAAACTGGGATAAAAATACATGAATTTGTCCAATAGAAACTCTTGTTTGCAACTGTTACACCCTAGATAAGCTAGATGCAGGCAAGAATGTGCAAGGCAGTATTGAATGTGTCACTGTCTGTCCATGTGTCACTGTCTGTCATCTCACATTGTTCTCTCGACCTGTGTGCACCTACATTATAAACTTTAATTCATAGGCTAGGTTGTAGCAACCTCATGATGGGTATAGGGAAAATTTGAGTATCATGTAGTAGCCTAAACCTATCGATGTTACATTGAACTGGGTGAATGGAATATGAATGACAGTCATCCAACATGCTGAAATAGAAATAAGGCCATGCTCATGAAAAAAATAATCGTCCTCCCTCGTCATAAACGGCACTAACCGCCACTGATGTACTGCCTGTGTGCCCCCTGCCTTGATCCACCCAGCTGTTTACCCTGAGATTGGAGCTGTGTCCTCTGGGTCACATCAGCCAGTTGGTCAGACCTGCTCCACATACAGTACAGAGGTTTAACATGAGACTCCTACCCCACATACAGAGGTTTATTAGCAGGAGACTGCCGCTAAATCAGTCAGACTAACTAGAGAAACAACAGACCTATAGACAGAAGATGGATGCGCTGACAGACAAAATGGCTAGTGTGTATTGCAGAAAGCATCTCTGATTGTCAATGTCCACCATATGTTATGTATTGAAGTACAGCACATAAACAGAGTTAAAGATTAAGTTGAGCTGCTAGGCAGATAATGGTCTATCAACGCTGTGTACACAGGAGAGAGAAGAGCTCAGAGTGTTCAGTGAGTGGATCATGTCTCCAGAAGCCTGTGACTCATACCATTCCTCCCAAGACTGGCTGATTGACTCCTCTCCTCAGTCTCGTTTCCTCTCTTTCCGCCTCACACTGTAGGACCTGACCGTGGCTGCCCGAGACACCATCTCCTCCCAGCTCTGGATGACCTCACTTGACCTCTCACTGTAGTACCAGCCCCATCTGCCACCATCACACACACAGTCTCTCTATTCATCTCTGGATCATTATTATTAATTTTTTGGTCATTTAGCAGACGCTCTTATCCAGAGCGACTTACAGTTAGTGAGTGCATACATTTTTCATACTGGCCCCCCGTGGGAATCGAACCCACAACCCTGGCGTTGCAAGCGCCATGCTCTACCAACTGAGCTACAGGAGGGATCGTGTAGCTGTCATGTGGCGCTCTGTATCATGTCTTTAGATTTGCTCCAGAGAGCCCGTGTTTCTCAGCAACCCAATGTGATCATGATAAAGTGTCATCTGACATTTTAATAAACTGAAAGTGATACTCTGTTATTTAGATGGGATTCTAGCCTCCATTCTTAGATGTTATCAAACAGAGCAGGGTCAGGTCTTTCCCCCTGACCCAGCAGGTGGTAGTGGGACTGCATCATGACTGACATTATGGAGCTGCAGTTCTCATACTTTCCAAGTGAATCATGGATTAAATAATATTTTATAAATGTGCTGGCACTTTGAGAGGCATTCCCCATCATCACTCACATTAACTTTCTCTCCATCAAATGTGTATAATCTAAGAGCGTTGCCAGCTGTCTATTACAGTGAGGGAAAAAAGTATTTGATCCCCTGCTGATTTTGTACGTTTGCCCACTGACAAAGACATGATCAGTCTATAATTTTTATGGTAGGTTTATTTGAACAGTGAGAGACAGAATAAATTTTTTTTCTCCAAAAAAACGCATGTAAAAAATGCTATAAATTGATTTGCATTTTAATGAGGGAAATAAGTATTTGACCCCTCTGCAAAACATGACTTAGTACTTGGTGGCAAAACCCTTGTTGGCAATCACAGAGGTCAGACATTTCTTGTAGTTGGCCACCAGGTTTGCACACATCTCAGGAGGGATTTTGTTCCACTCCTCTTTGCAGATCTTCTCCAAGTCATTAAGGTTTCGAGGCTGACGTTTGGCAACTCGAACCTTCAGTTCACTCCACAGATTTCTATGGGATTAAGGTCTGGAGACTGGCTAGGCCACTCCAGGACCTTAATGTGCTTCTTCTTGAGCCACTCCTTTGTTGCCTTGGCCGTGTGTTTTGGGTCATTGTCATGCTGGAATACCCATCCACGACCCATTTTCAATGCCCTGACTGAGGGAAGGAGGTTCTCACCCAAGATTTGACGGTACATGGCCCCGTCCATCGTCCCTTTGATGCGGTGAAGTTGTCCTGTCCCCTTAGCAGAACCCCTGTTTGACGGTGGGGATGGTGTTCTTGGGGTCATAGGCAGCATTCCTCCTCCTCCAAACACGGCGAGTTGAGTTGATGCCAAAGAGCTCGATTTTGGTCTCATCTGGCCACAACACTTTCACCCAGTTCTCCTCTGAATCATTCAGATGTTCATTGGCAAACTTCAGACGGCCCTGTATATATGCTTTCTTGAGCAGGGGGACCTTGCGGGCGCTGCAGGATTTCAGTCCTTCACGGCGTAATGTGTTACCAATTGTTTTCTTGGTGACTATGGTCCCAGCTGCCTTGAGATCATTGACAAGATCCTCCCATGTAGTTCTGGGCTGATTCTTCACCGTTCTCATGATCATTACAAATCCACGAGGTGAGATCTTGCATGGAGCCCCAGGCCGAGGGAGATTGACAGTTCTTTTGTGTTTCTTCCATTTGCGAATAATCGCACCAACTGTTGTCACCTTCTCACCAAGCTGCTTGGCGATGGTCTTGTAGCCCATTCCAGCCTTGTGTAGGTCTACAATCTTGTCCCTGACATCCTTGGAGAGCTCTTTGGTCTTGGCCATGGTGGAGAGTTTGGAATCTGATTGATTGATTGCTTCTGTGGACATGTGTCTTTTATACAGGTAACAAGCTGAGATTAGGAGCACTCCCTTTAAGAGTGTGCTCCTAATCTCAGCTCGTTACCTGTATAAAAGACACCTGGGAGCCAGAAATCTTTCTGATTGAGAGGGGGTCAAATACTTATTTCCCTCATTAAAATGCAAATCAATTTATAACATTTTTGACATGCGTTTTTCTTGGATTTTTTTGTTGTTATTCTGTCTCTCACTGTTCAAATAAACCTACCATTAAAATTATAGACTGATCATTTCTTTGTCAGTGGGCAAACGTACAAAATCAGCAGGGGATCAAAAACTTTTTTCTCTCACTGTATAATCTGGGGTCATTCTAGTTTGCAGGGCAAAAACATGAAGACCCATTACAATCAATTGGATTCAGTGTGCCAGAAGGGGACTTGATTTTGTTGGTGCCAAAAAGATGCAAGTGACATTTTCAATAAATTATAAATGTTTTTCCATCCATTACATGATGGAATCCATTGTATTAGCTGAAAGCTGTTTTTAGAAAACATGTGGGGCAAGAAGCAGTTTTAGAAGCAGTATACACTTGCAATACAAGTTTTGTTTCTGCACTACTGTACAATGTTGAAAATGTCTGGGTATAGTGAGAATGATCGTAACTGTATGATCGGGCGGTGACCCGATCCTGTAGGTTCATGCTCTACAACATTCGCAGAGTACGACCCTGCCTTACACAGGAAGCGGCACAGGTCCTAATCCAGGCACTCTCCCGTCTGGATTACTGCAACTCGCTGTTGGCTGGGCTCCCTGCCTGTGCCATTAAACCCCTACAACTCATCCAGAACGCCGCAGCCCGTCTGGTGTTCAACCTTCCCAAGTTCTCTCACGTCACCCCGCTCCTCCGCACACTCCACTGGCTTCCAGTTGAAACTCGCATCTGCTACAAGACCATGGTGCTTGCCTACGGAGCTGTGAGGGGAATGGCACCTCCGTACCTTCAGGCTCTGATCAGTCCCTACACCCAAACGAGGGCATTGCGTTCATCCACCTCTGGCCTGCTGGCCCCCCTACCTCTGCGGAAGCACAGTTCTCGCTCAGCCCAGTCAAAACTGTTCGCTGCTCTGGCACCCCAATGGTGGAACAAGCTCCCTCACGACGCCAGGACAGCGGAGTCACTCACCACCTTCCGGAGACACTTGAAACCCCACCTCTTTAAGGAATACCTGGGATAGGATAAAGTAATCATTCTACCCCCCCTTACCCCACCCCCAAAAAATAAAAAAATAAAAAAATATATATTGTAAAGTGGTTGTTCCTCAAGGTGAATGCACCAATTTGTAAGTCGCTCTGGATAAGAGCGTCTGCTAAATGACGAAAATGTAAATGTAAAAAATGTATAATACAGTATTAGCACACAAAGAGATAGAAATGAACAGAGCAGAACAGTAGAATTTACCACAACCAAAAAAGTATTTATTTACCTTCCAACAAACTGTGGACAATACAGGTAATAGATAGAGAGAGGTACCTGAACATGTCAAATAACAATATTAATTAATATTAATATTATAACATTAATAACGTACAATGTAGTCTTTATATCTTCATTCACTTTTTCATTTTTATTTTATTAATGAAACATGTCAAATAAATAAAGATCTATATAGCCTCTGTATGTAATCTAATTGCTATCATATAAGGGCGACAACTACCTGAGTCAGCTAAAGAAAAGATTGCAAATGTATTACGGACACAAACAAAAACATCCAAAGTAAACACCAAGAAGAGAATGAAGGACTCCTGTGGAAAAACTGGCTACAGCAATGTTCAGTGTGCCCCTATGGTCAGCCTCTGTAGTCCAGTGTGATGTTTCTTCTATGATTCCAAAAGAGAGAAGAGAGACTAGACTATGTGTGTGTTTAAGTCTGTGCTGTGGTCCTCCAGCTGGGATATGATAGTGATGAGGTTCTGCAGACCGAAGATGTAGCCACTGTCCTGGCCCTCATGCACCACACTGTCCTCCACATAGTCAGGGCACGTGGTGTGGGCAAAGTCAATCATCCTCACGTCCACCGCCAGCCCAGGGCCTGTATCAGATCGGACTGCCAGGCGTCCACCACCAGTGCTACCACTACTACTGCTACTGCTGCGGGGCAACCCGAACGCACTTGCCTCTTCATCTTTCTCCCCTTCCTCCTCTTCCTCCTCCTCAGACAGACCGCCCTCGGGGCCTCTGCATGGGTGTGTGCGGGGCGGCTCACCGTCGTAGATGATGAGCAGGGAGGAGGAATAGAAACGGTAGGACTCACAGCACTCGAGGGCCGCCTGCATCTCCCTGAGCCTCCGCAGCACCGGGGAGAGCAGCTCGCGCCGCAGACGCCTCCCGTCATGGAAGAACTGGAACAGAGCCTCCTTGAAGCCCGACAGGGTCAGTTTACGCCCAATGTACTTATCCATGAACATGAGCTGACCAGAGTCTGACTGGTACACCTGAGAGAGAGGTAGGAGATGGAGGGGTTCAGAAACACATTTATTCCCTTTCATTCTGAACTAGAACTAAGCTATGCCTCCCCAAGAGATAATTTCAGGCTCTTCAATAACACACAATTTAACATTGTGCCCACCTGCATGCCACAGAGGCGTACTCCAATGGAGGCAGAGGTGCTTTGCTGGCACTTGCGGATTTGCATGACCTTCTTCTCCTCGGACACGTTGTCACCATGCTGCCGTGTGCCCATCTTCAGGTCCAGCACGCACGGAACCGTTTGACGCCACGTCAGGTTCTCCAGCAGGATGAATTCTGGGAAGGGGTCCTGAGTCAAGGAGCCTCTGGCTACAGGAGAATCACATCATATTCCTAATGGACCTGGTTGGAGACTTAACTCTACACTAATGTAGTAGGAAGACCTGAATCCCTATCAGCAGACACTAATTCATCAGATGGACCGGACACCAATCACTTCCCTTACAAATACACAGATGTCACAAGTGGATTATCTGTAAGATTGGAAGTATACTTTGGGCACAAGATTCTGCAGAGCGAAGAAATAGGCAGTTCTACACAGTAATACGTTAGGTACAGTACATGGACAAACTTTGCAGGCAGGTGCTGGATGGCCTGATGTTCAAAGTGGTTGTTCCACACAGAAAGGATACTGTACTGGTTGCGGTGCTTGGCGTTCTCCTTCATCCTCTGCAGGTGTTTTTGTTGGAGTTTGAGTCTCCAGGGGTTGTGTTGGATGGCGTTGCTGCGTCCCAGAGGCACCTCCTCCTGCTGCAGCCACTCCAGCTCCATCTCCAGCACCTCCCCCTCAGGCTTATGACTGGGGGAGAGAGGAAGAGAGGGGAGTCAGGAGGGGTGGGGGGCATGAAGCTTACATTCTAGAACCTACAATGTGTCTCAACAAATCAAATCAAATTTGATTTGCCACATGTGCCGAAAACAACAGGTGTAGACATTACTGTGAAATGCTTACTTACAGCCCTTAACCAACAATGCATTTATTTTTTAATAAAAAAGTAAAATAAAACAACAACAACAAAAAAGTGTTGAGAAAAAAAGAGCAGAAGTAAAATAAAATAACAGTAGGGAGGCTATATACAGGGGGGTACCGGTGCAGAGTCAATGTGCGGGGGCACCGGCTAGTTGAGGTAGTTGAGGTAATATGTACATGTGGGTAGAGTTAAAGTGACTATGCATAAATAATTAACAGAGTAGCAGCAGCGTAAAAATATGGGGTGGGGGTGGGGGGGGGGCAGTGCAAATAGTCCGGGTAGCCTTGATTAGCTGTTCAGGAGTCTTATGGCTTGGGGGTAGAAGCTGTTGAGAAGCCTTTTGGACCTAGACTTGGCGCTCCGGTACCGCTTGCCGTGCGGTAGCAGAGAGAACAGGACATACAGGTAACTTCCAAAATAAAGGAAACACTTGAGTAAATGAGGAACACAAAATATATTGAAAGCAGGTGCTTCCACACAGGCGTGGTTCCTGAGTATATTAAGCAATTAACATCCCATCATACTTAGGGTCATGTATAAAAATGTCCAGTTGCTCATTATTTTGACTAGAAGAAGAGATCTCAGTGACTTTGAAAAAGGGGTCTCAAAGGAGCATAGGGGTTTTTAAGCAGTGTGTTTGTGTATGTATCTCAGTCACCAGATCTCAACCCAATGGAACACTTCTGGAGCGACGCCTGAGACAGTCTGGCCACAGCCTCACCATTAGCTACTCACACCAGGTGGGGCCTGCCTGCTTGTATTTCAGTGTGCGTATTTTAGAGTGGTTTATATGTTTGTCTGTGTGTATGTGTGCTTGTGTGAGCCAGTGTATGAGTTAAAGGAAATATTCACCCATTTTGAATATTATATCGTACTCTGAGCAATGTTCTATCGATTCCCAGGGTCATTTCATGTTTTAATGTGTATCTGAGCTATTCGCTGTTCAAGCAGGCAGAAATACAGCCGGTATGATGCGTTTGCATCATACCGGCTGTATTTCTGTCAGCTTGAACTACGAATAGCTCATGAAATGACCCCGGGAATCGATAGAACATCGCTGAGAGACGCACAAATACGGTATAACACTCAAAATGGGTGTCAGTGATTGCGTGTGTTCATCATAACGCTCACCAGCTCTGGTGGCCTGTATGTCTCTTTATCGGTGTATCTCAGTAGGTCTCTGTAACAGTTTTTCAAGTGCATCCGACTCTGTCTCGTCTCTCACCTCTTGTCCTTGTCTTTGCGTGAGTCCAGCAGACTCTGGGCAGACAGCTGCTTCATGCCCCACTGCAGCATCTTGCTGTTGGGCTCACCATTGACCGACGGGTCTATATTCTCCAGGTCCCCCACCCCAGAGTCACTTTGCAGGGGGTATGCTATGAGACACAGGTTGCCCTCCTCATCCTCCTCAAAACTCACAGATACCACACCTGAGGGACAGAGAGAGACGAAGAGAGAGAGGAAAGGAAGAAGAAAAACCGGTAAGACATCAACCTCATAGAAATTGTAAAGCAATGGTTATTTTGACTCTATGTAATACTGTTTTTGAATTTCCCAGCAGGAAAAAAAAAAAGGGGGAACTATTTTGAGTCTAGGCAATTCCACTATTGTAAGTGAAGTGGATTTACACTCGGTAACAGAATTGCGGTAAAGGAATTTCATGTGTCCCTGATCTGTACTATACAAAAATGAATAATTATGAATATGAACGTCATTCTCTTCATGGTGATGTATCTTAAATACAGTGGAGATAACAAGTATTTGATACACAGGTTTTCCTACTTACAAAGCATGTAGAGGTCTGTAATTTTTTATCATAGGTACAATAAAACAGTCCCATAAGAGCTTATTTCTTACAAAATAAAACATAATATATATATATATATATATATATATATTTAACATTCTATTTATTGGCATTTTTTACAATTGAACAATCAGCTAAATACAGTGGGGAGAACAAGTATTTGATACACTGCCGATTTTGCAGGTTTTCCTACTTACAAAGCATGTAGAAGTCTGTAATTTTTATCATAGGTACACTTCAACTGTGAGAGACGGAATCTAAAACGAAAATCCAGAAAATCACATTGTATGATTTTTAAATAATTCATTTGCATTTTATTGCATGACATAAGTATTTGATCACCTACCAACCAGTAAGAATTCCGGCTCTCACAGAGCTGTTAGTTTTTCTTTAAGAAGCCCTCCTGTTCTCCACTCATTACCTGTATTAACTGCACCTGTTTGAACTCGTTACCTGTATAAAAGACACCTGTCCACACACTCAATCAAACAGACTCCAACCTCTCCACAATGGCCAAGACCAGAGAGCTGTGTAAGGACTAAAATTGTATCAGGGATAACATTGTAGACCTGCACAAGGCTGGGATGGGCTACATGACAATAGGCAAGCAGCTTGGTGAGGAGGCAACAACTGTTGGCGCAATTATTCGAAAATGGAAGAAGTTCAAGATGACGGTCAATCACCCTCGGTCTGGGGCTCCATGCAAGATCTCACCTCGTGGGGCATCAATGATCATGAGGAAGGTGAGGGATCAGCCCAGAACTACACGGCAGGACCTGGTCAATGACCTGAAGAGAGCTGGGACCACAGTCTCAAAGAAAACCATTAGTAACACACTACGCCGTCATGGATTAAAATCCTGCAGCACACGCAAGGTCCCCCCCCCCACCCCCCCCAGGCCCGTCTGAAGTTCGCCAATGACCATCTGGATGATCCAGAGGAGGAATGGGAGAAGGTCATGTGGCTTTTTGGTCTAAACTCCACTTGCCGTGTTTGGAGGACGAAGAAGGATGAGTACAACCCCAAGAACACCATCCCAACCATGAAGCATGGAGAAGGGGAGAAGGGGACAGGACGACTGCACCGTATTGAGGGGAGGATGGATGGGGCCATGTATCGCGAGATCTTGGCCAACAACCTCCTTCCCTCAGTAAGAGCATTGAAGATGGGTCGTGGCTGGGTCTTCCAGCATGACAACGACCCGAAACACACAGCCAGGGCAACTAAGGAGTGGCTCCGTAAGAAGCATCTCAAGGTCCTGGAGTGGCCTAGCCAGTCTCCAGACCTGAACCCAATAGAAAATCTTTGGAGGGAGCTGAAAGTCCGTATTGCCCAGCGACAGCCCCGAAACCTGAAGGATCTGGAGAAGGTCTGTATGGAGGAGTGGGCCAAAATCCCTGCTGCAGTGTGTGCAAACCTGTTCAAGACCTACAGGAAATGTATGATCTCTGTAATTGCAAACAAAGGTTTCTGTACCAAATATTACGTTCTGCTTTTCTGATGTATCAAATACTTATGTCATGCAATAAAATGCCAATTAATTACTTAAAAATCATACAATGTGATTTTTGTTTTAGATTCCGTCTCTCACAGTTGAAGTGTACCTATGATAAAAATTACAGACTTCTACATGCTTTGTAAGTAGGAAAACCTGCAAAATCGGCAGTGTATCTAATACTTGTTCTCCCCACTGTAGGTACACAAAAAGGTATAAATATGCAATATCCTCCTTTGCATATTTGGGTACTATTCTACACACTATTTGGGTATAGCTCTGTCCCCAAACTAGAACAAATTTGGTTGGTCTGGATCAGACCAAATCCGAACCAGTCATCAACCAGGTTTCTATCTAACCTTTTTATGCGAGTAAAGTATATGTCGGATAAAAAATGTCACGACAGGCCTGATGGAAACAGCACATTTGTCGGTCAACATTCCAAATGTCAACAAAACGAAATACGCTAGACAAGGGGGGATGTTTTTGTGTCAGTAAAATGAATGATGCGAGAAATGGTGGTGGAAACGCCTTTATTGTCAAATATTGATATAATAACCATCATATGGAAGTAAACGTGGAGTCACATGATATTGTGTGGTCCTCCCACTATGACTTCGGGAAAGCATGCAGTTTATTAGGCTACAGATGAAATAAGTTATGAACTTCACAGGGTGGTGAAAGTGCACGTGATGAGCTTGGTGCTCCTTTCCAATAAATATCGAGGGTCTTATTCTGGTGACATGATGATCGATGCTTGGCTGCCATTTGACAAATATGAATAATCTTGCACACATCATGTAGGTAGCCTATCCGCAATGTATCTGCGAGCTGTTGGCTAAAGTGCATGTGCCAATGTCATGAATGTCTGTGGAATGCAGTAGGCCAGAGTCAAGTGCAGGACACAGAATGAAAGGAAAATCTACTTTACTGTATAGTAAAGAAACAAGCAAAACCTCCAACACAGGGAGGAGCAACCCGCTCACAAACGACACTCGTAACAATCAACAAACACGCACAACACACAGTGGGAGCGAACAGGTTAAATAGGGAAGGACATAATACATCATGGGAAACAGGTGTGCAATACTAGACAACAACCAGATGAACATAGAAACATAAAACATTAGCTAGTACTCCGGTGATGGCGAACGCCGAAGCCTGCCCGAGCCAGAAGGAAGGGCAGTGTCGGCAGAATCCGTGACCCCCCCCCACCGGCCATTACGATGAAATTCTCTCAACAAAGAGGGATTGAGGATATCCCTCCTAGGAACCCAGCACCGCTCCTCCGGACCGTACCGCTCCCACTCCACGAGATCTGACGCCTCGAATCCAGGATGGAACGGACCGAGTACGCCAGTGCCCCCTCGATGTCAAGTGGGGCCGGAGGAACCTCCCGTATCTCAGATTCCTGGAGTGGACCAGCTACCACCGGCCTGAGGAGAGACACATGGAACGAGGGGTTAATGCGATAATTAATAGGAAGCTGTAACCTATAACATACCTCGTTCAATCTCCTCAGGACTTTAAATGGGCCCACAAACCACCTACCCAACTTCCGGCAGGGCAGGCGAAGGTTTCGGGTCGAGAGCCAGACCCGGTCCCCCGGTGCATACACCGGGGCTTCACTGCGGTAGCGGTCGGCGCTCGCCTTCTTCCGCCTGATGGCCCGCTGCAGGCTTTCATGGGCAGCGTCCCAGGTCTCCTGCGAGCGCCGAACCCACTCGTCCACCGCATCTACCTCGATCTGGCTCTGATGCCAAGGTGCCAGGGCCGGCTGATAACCTAACACACACTGGAAAGGATTGAGGTCAGTTGAGGAGTGGCGGTTGGAGATGATTGCCATCTCTGCCCAGTGTAGGAAAACCGACCACTCCCCTCGCCGGTCCTGGCAATACGACCTCAGAAACCTACCCACCTCCTGGTTGATTCTCTCCACCTGCCCATTACTCTCGGGGTGAAAACCTGAGGTAAGGCTAACCGAGATCCCCAACCATTCCATGAACGCCCTCCAAACCCTTGAGGTGAATTGGGGACCCCGATCAGACACTATATCCTCAGGCACCCCGTAGTGCAGGAAGACGTGTGTAAATAGGGCCTCGGCAGTTTGTAGGGCCGTAGGGAGTCCGGGCAGAGGAAGGAGGCGACAGGACTTAGAAATCCGATCCACAACGACCAGGATAGTTGTGTTCCCTTTTGCGGGAGGAAGATCAGTCATAAAATCCACCGATAGGTGGGACCACGGTCGCTGTGGAACGGGTAGGGGGTGTAATTTCCCTCTGGGCAGGTGTCTAGGAGCCTTACACTGGGCGCACACTGAGCAGGAGGAAACATAAACCCTCACGTCCTTAGCTAAGGTGGGCCACCAGTACTTCCCACTTAGACAGTTCACTGTCCGACCGATGCCAGGATGACCAGAGGAGGGTGACGTGTGAGCCCAATAGATCAAACGATCGCGGACCTCCAGCGGTACGTACATACGACCCTCTGGACACTGGGGAGGAGTGGGTTCGTTACGCAAAGCCCGCTCGATGTCCGCGTCAACCTCCCATACCACCGGTGCCACCAGACACGACGCCGGAAGTATGGGAGTGGGCTCCACGGAACTCTCCTCCGTGTCATACAGTCGGGACAGAGCATCTGCCTTAGCATTCTGGGAGCCAGGTCTGTAGGAAAGGGTGAAAACAAAACGGGTGAGAAACATGGACCACCTTGGACCACCTAAACCCTCGCCGCTCAGATGTACTCCAGATTGCGGTGGTCAGTCAAAATGAGAAAAGGGTGTTTAGCCCCCTCAAGCCAATGTCTCCCCGTTTTCAGGGCTTTGACCACAGCCAACAGCTCCCGGTCCCCCACATCATAGTTGCGCTCCGCCGGGCTGATCTTCTTCGAAAAGAAAGCACAGGGGCGGAGCTTGGGTGGCGTGCCCGAGCGCTGAGAAAGTACAGCGCCTATCCCAGCCTCGGACGTGTCCACCTCAACTGTGAAAGCCAAGGAGGGAACCGGATGAGCCAGCACTGGAGCCGAGGTAAACAGGTCCTTCAGGTGACTAAAAGCCCTGTCCGCCTCAGCTGACCACCGCAGACACACCGGTCCCCCCTTCAGCAACGAGGTAATGGGAGCCGC